TAAGGAACATTTCAGTTATAACGGCAATATGCACGTTATGAACTCTCAAAAAGTTCTTCATTATCTTTAAGAGATCGAGCATTCCAATTTAAAATGTTTAAAGCTTTAAAATCCATTACTGAATTTTAAAGTCATGACAATATTATTAGCAAATTTTACTCCAGTTTGAATAGCATCAAACATGGAGTTAGATTTAAGCATATCAGATATCATGTCAATTAATGAATTCTGTAAAAATTCCATTTTAGGGGCAGTAATGCTTCCTAAGTCAAAATTGTCAAAATTTCCGTTAGAACGTTGGTTAGTATTTTGATTTCTACCCGGTGCAATAGCAGCATAGGTAGCTCCATTACCTCGCTGAACATTGTTAGCAGCGAGGGGAGTAGGTACAGATGAAACATTTGAAGCAGGGGTGATATTTGTACCTACGGGTATGAATGTAGAATTTGTTCCTCGCTGACCGTTGTTAACAGCAGAGGAATTTGTACCTGGTCGGAAACGTGGAGCGTTTCCTACCTGGCGGTTAGAACGAGATTGTAGGATCGCTTTGCGAGTCTTACATTCCCAAAAATTGGATTTGTGGTTTTCACCACAATTTGAACATTTAAATTTCTTAGGATCTTCCTTCACAGGACAGTCGTCCTTTGCGTGAGAGGAATCACCACAATTCATGCATTTAGCTGGCATGTAGCAATTTTTTGTTCCGTGACCCCATCCCTGGCACTTACGGCACTGAGTGAGGTTTTGGAAATTTCCTCCAGTCTTCCTGAAGTGTTCCCACTTCACTCGGACATGGAGCATAAGGCTAGCTTTTTCTAAGGCCTTAAGGTTGTTTAGTTCACTAGACTTGAAGTGAACTACACTGGAGTCGCTTTTTACGCGGTTTTTTTTTACACGGTTTTTTTTTACGCGGTTTTTTTTTACGCGGATTTCGGAATTTACGCGGTTTTTTTTACGCGGATTCCGGAATTTACGCGGTTTTTTTTTACGCGGATTTTGGTTTTTTTTTTACGCGGTTTTCAGAATTTACGCGGTATATCGCTTTTTACGCGGTTTTTTCTTACACGGTCTTTTTTTACTCGGTTTTTTTTACGCGGATTTTGGAATTAACGCGGTTTTTTTTTACGCGGATTCCGGAATTTACGCGGTTTTTTTTACGCGGTTTTTTTTTTACGCGGGACGTATCACCCGCGTAAAAAGCGACTCCAGTGTAAATAAAAATCATTAGAAATCCCGTTGCGCGAATCGCCAGGACGGGATTTCATTTTCATTTTGCCAGTTCATCTTTGATCTGATCCAGGGATTCACCACTGGGCAGTTCTTTCATGACAACCTTGAACACACGTTCAGTTTTGGTGTCGTAAGTAAAAAATTTGTGCTTCTTCTCAGTAAGATACTTGAGAAGACATTTAAATCCGTCCAAGGTTTCAGCCAATACACGGCATTCACCCCGACGTCCAATTTGTAGTGAAAACTTAACTTTCACGAAATTCAAAAGTTCCATGCGAAGAGCATGGAAATCGGAAGTGGTTATCACAATAGGGGGAATCTTTTCCTTCTTGGCATTAAGCCGGGAAAGTTTACTAGAATTTTTCTTGGATGATGGATTATTCTCATCATCCGTAAGCAAATCAAATTGATTACTCAAATTAATTTCATCAGAAGGGGGGTCAAGAGTTTGCCCCTTTCTTTTGCGTTTAGGCGCCATGGCGGCAAAAATTTTTTATCCAAATCGACTTCCAAGCAGATTACTATAAGAATCTGAAGGTTCGAAGAGGAATTTTCCAAATCGATATCCAAGAAGGATTACGTCGGGTAGGGTCCAAACAAGGATCGAAGAGGAATAAGAGTTGAACAAGGTAGAAAATTTTTTACAGGTTGAGCACTGAAAAGTACTGTTTAAATTTGTTATAGCTTTAGGTAGTAGTAACACTTCCTTAAGCAAAAAGCAAATAGATCCGCACGGCAAGAGAGCACGATGCGGATTGAAATTCAGTTCTCTAAATCCGTAATATGCGCGGTAACCTTTGTAAACTACTCAAAAAAGTTTTGTTGTTGTTAACAACTATTAAATCAAATATCAAAAATCCATTATCGCCATCGTGGCGCACAAAATATTTTTTCAGTGCTACAATAATTATTAAAAAGTCGTTATAACAGCTATCCATACAAAATAATCCGTTAGATACATAATCTGTCAATACAATTTTAACGAGTGAATTGCAATGTCTCTTAAATTCTGATAGTTGTTGTATGTTTAATAAGTCTAGGCATCGAATTGAAAGCATTTATTCCTTTAAAATACAATGAAATCTATAAAGCACATGTTAAGAAATGTGGTACCGTAAAACGGGGTATCTTTGATAATGTGGGTTACTTTGATGGTAGAATATGATGATTTAATTTACTCTCTGCCTTTTTCCGAATTAGAAACATTGGTTCCATATTGTAGCTTAGGGCATTTCCCTTGATTGCCAAAAATATTGAAAACAATTTTCTTGCTTTTTGCTTGTTTAAAAAAGCACTCAAACCATCACTTATGAAATGTATTTCTGATACAGCCATCACAAATTTAATGTTGTTGTTTTATTGCTTATGGTGTTTCTGATTATATACTCATTCAATATTTTATATTTATTAAACTAAATTGAGATTCACGCATGTTTTTCTACATTCATCGAGCATTATCAAAGTTACCCCAAATCAAAATACTGATGTTCTGTCACAAGACTAAAAAAATAGTGCAAATGAAATAAATGTCATTAAATATATTACTAACGTGTCTTAAGTGTCATTAAATATATTACAGGGTCCTCAGTACTTGTTTAAAAAAAATATAATTTGAGAAACATTACTTGATGTAAAAGATATTTAGAATATACTTCAAAAAACTATCAATGCTACCCCGTTTTACGGTATTCTTATTTCATCCGCATTTCTAATATTATATCTATGAAAGTCACGTCCTCTTTGAATTCGATCACACTAATATCTAGGCTGCAAATTTGAGGCTAGTTTCAAAATTTGATGTCGGGGGACATTCCATATATTTTGTGTGTTAAAAGCATAATTTTTGTACGTGATTTTCTCTATAAAATACGATAAAAACGCAAAAAAGGAGAAAAAGGTCCAGTCCCTGATAGAACATTTTGATACTTAGCTTCATATGAACTATAGTCGCTATACATATAGTCTGGCGGATAAAATCTCGGGAACTAATTGATCTATCAAAAAGCGTAACCAATCGAGCATATCACGATCAACATCACAAAAGAGGACAACAGCTTTTGCGTCACGCCAATAGCACTTTCAGGGGCCGGCGGCGGTGGCGGTGTGAATCAGCGTGGTATTTTTTTAGTTTTTTTTTTACAAACTGAAAAATGAATATGCACGGTTAATATAAAGATAAACATCGCACAGTTTACATTTCTTCAATTATGTAACGTATCCGTGAGGATCCGCTGACATCGATAATCATGAACACATCCATCAACCGTGACGTCTCACCATCATATTTTTGGTTTTAATTTGTGAGATCTTAGAACATGAGCAAATTGAAATCGTCTAATTCGATTAAAATCACAACATTTTAACATCAATGCATTTGTACACTTCCAAAATGCACAGATAGCTCATTTGGTTAAAAATGTTTAAGTTGTAATTTTCCCGAGGTTTCTGCAATTTGGAATAACAAAAGAGGGAGGTCGTTGAACTATAATAATTGGAAACATTCATTATGCCTGTCATCTCGCGCAATGGTAATAGGGTTTGGAGCTAATTTTTGGCCTATTAAACGTATCATCCTATTATCCCTCTATCTTCGCACCTACGTTTTTTTGCTGACTACTTTGTGCTTTTTCAACGAACACGAATGTAGTCAAATATACTATGTAATTGATGTTTATGTTTGGTAGTAGTTTCTAATGAATAGGATTTTAGTATAATCTGCTATAGAAGTGTTGTTATTTTGACTATGTTGAATAACTGTTTTACCATGGTGAATTTTTCTTAGTCATTTGTGCAGAAATAAAACGTCTTATGAAAATTTTAGCACAAATAATAAAATATCACTATATTGAATGTTCTTGTTTTCCGAGGAAAAGCAGTGGCTTTACTGTTACCTGTCCAATTCCGGATTGGGTAACTATTTTGGGTCATTTTTTCAGAGTTAACAAGTCAATTATGCCTTTAGTACGATACGATAGTTCAAAAGCTAACGAACGAAGTCAATGAGAACGCGTGATATGAATGTTTGCACCCATTTTTCTCAATCACAAAAGAAGCGCTCCGACCGAATCAATTTTTATCTTCATCCGATAGCCCGAAGGGAATTCAATTGCTTTTGAATATGAAACGCATGTGCAAAGGGCGTGCCTAATTTCGAATCCGTAGCCCGAGTTTGGCGTCAAGATGAAGTATTAGATTTTCAACAATATTACAAAAAAATGTTTTTCTTCAAAGGGCGTGTTGTGCTTAGTAGATTTAGATCTAAGCCCTAAGATAGAAGATAAAATTAGATCTAAGCACTAACGTCCGCTATACATAATTGGTACAAAATAAAAAGCTATTTAAAAAATCAGGATTAATTTTTTAAGCTTTGTTTAGATTAAAGATCCTGAATTTATAAAGAGACGACATGTCAAAATTGGAACAATCGATTATCTGTCAAAGTCATAGGAAAAGTAATTCCAATTGAGCAGAAGACCTGTAAAATGGATAGGATGTCGTCTCTTTATAAATTCAGGTTCTTTAGCTAAGATCATATTCAACTGATCCAGTAACAGTTTCGCAAATCTTCGTAATCATTGAGAGGTAAATCAAAAATATCTGTTTTCTGAACAATTCACTAAATGGATAAGACTTCAGGCTCTCGCGATCCCCAAAAGCCCACCCCATTGACGATTAGACTTGTTTAAGGTCTTATTATAATTATTCCCTTATTGAATAGGTATGAAAACAAATCAAGCTGTAACTTTTTTTATTTATGTTTTGATTTTCAGGTTTGATTGTTTTAAGAAGACTTACAAAGTGGAAGGTTATTTTGGGATGTATCGAGGTTCTGCCGTTAATATATTGCTGATAACCCCTGAAAAGGCTATTAAATTGGCTGCCAATGACTTTTTCCGGCACAACCTTAAAACAAAGGACGGGTAAGTAATATGAGAAACTAGCTGATTGATCCAGAAAGGTTATGCAACAGCACAAAATACATTATTTTACATTTTGCATCCACTGGTGTAGTTGTGATAAGACATCAGTACACCCAGTGATGTACTATCCTCATTTTGGTACTCTAAAAAAAGTTGGAACCCCTTGGTACCGTAAGGTACATTAAAGAATAGTTCCAAAAATTAACAAAATTACAAAACGTTTTTCAAAATATAGGTATCAAAATAAACAAGGGGGTTCTTTTTTTTCGAGTACAAACATTAAGATGCATGGCACCTAAATGGTACACATAGAAATTTGAGCGTGAACTTATTATATAATTAGGTTCTGCAGCGTGACGTCACGAATGAACCCAGTGTTAATCGGCTGAACCTTTTTGACAGTTCAGTGGTACTGTTTACAAGCACTTAGTCGTTTTTTCGAAAAAAAAAAATTCTAAAATTTCCGAATTTTAACTTGAAAATTGTCGAGGAACAGCGCCTTGCAAGGATGTTGCTCGTGAACATTGCAGAAATGTGGTTTACATCTCACTGCAGTCTGAAAAAAAGTCCACGTAAACAGTACCACTAAACTGTCATCAGATTGAGGTTAACCCCGACGGTGCTAAAACCTAATTAGAGATGAACAAGCCTACAGCTCGTAATAAAGTGGGTGCAGTGGGTGCCTGTCCTTAAGGTCCGTTTAGACTATCTGATTTCTTGGTGTAATTTTGGACCGCCGGTATAATGAAAAAACACACACAAACACACACACACACACAAACACACACAGACACACACACAAACACACACAGACACACACACAAACACACACAGACACACACACAAACACACACAGACAAACACACAAACACACACAGACACACACACAAACACACACACACACACAAACACACACACACACACACACACAGACACATACACACACATACACACAGACACATACACACACATACATACACACACACACACACACGCACACACACAGAGACACACACACACACACACACACATAAACACACACACAGACACACACACACACACACACACACACACAGACACACAC